ACTAAAAAAAAAAAAATCAGAAAAATATACTGCATGCACTATTTTCCCCCGCATTTTCAACCAAACATTTCAGATACTTACATCAGAATTTACTTATGACCTTGTCCCACCTCATGTTGCAGAACACCCAGCAGCACTTGTCTCTTCTGCCAACTCTGCAGTGGTCTGATACAAGAACGATACACTACGTCACCACAGTTTTTACCTGTTGATAGCATACAATTCTCTGTCAAATTCAAGTTGAAAACAGTTACTTTATTCAGTCCTTGCTGGGGTTTGTGCACTGCACATGTCACTAGCCATAGCTATCAAAACCTTGACGATGAATAGCATTTCTTGAAATGTAAAGCCACTGAGCCATATCTTAGCTGTATAAATTGCCACAGATTCCCCTGAAGTCAGCAGTGCTGAGCCAGTACACCTAGGCTGTCAGACTGGTCCACATTTGTTAGCTGTCACCTAGCAAAGGTATCATCCTGTGTTGCTTTGCTTTTAATCTTATGCCAAGGCTTTTGTTTTTCCAGGGTAGAAAGCCTGGATTTTTGAAATATATTACTAAATAAATACTCATTTAAAATGTCTGCAGTACCTTTTTAAAGCAGCGGGTGGCACTTGCAGAGCAACAGTGTGCTGTGATTTAGCTTCTTTTACAGCAGTTACAGTGGTTTATTGCTTTATCCTTGTCGTTTCGGACAAATGGGATCTCATAGGATGTAGCATTCAGGTCGAGTTCACACTAACTGGGCCATTTGGTCTGCCTAAAGTCTGTCCTGCCAACAGCAGCCCTGAAGGGTGCCAGCACTTGCTGGAGAAGCAGTACCTGCAGATTTCCTAATTCTATGTCTACAGTCACATCTGTGTAAATAACCTCAAACAAATGTGGAAAGCAAGACATGAGCTTTAATCGTGGTTTCGTAGGAGCACATGCTTTCCATCTAAAACCTTTTTATCAAGGAAATACTATTGGTAATTTGCTGACCTGTCACAGCTGTTCCTTGCAGATTAAAGTAACCTGCAGGAGTTCTTTAAGATGTGTTGTTGAAAACATATTTAACAGTAATCGGATGCTGGTAGGTGATTTCAGGACAGTGTCTTATGCCACAAAACAATGCGCTATAGCAGAAAGCTGTATGGCACTGTTACTCCAGCACTGAGTGTACTTATAGGTATCATAAATAAATAAATAAGTAACGGATAATAAAGATACACTGAGGGTTTCCTCACACTGCATTACAATCTGTAATAAAAAACCCCGCAGGCTAAGCAGATATACCCTAAAATAACCTCAGTAGAATATACTGTACTTATTTAATTCCACATCATCTGATCAAGTAATGTCTTTTGTACATTAACACTGCTAATAATTTCCTCTGCAACATTCAAGAGCTCGGCAGGTATCAGAAGTTTTAATTGCCAGACTCATTTTATACCAGCATGTGGCATCTAGACATTATTAAACAAAATACTGATCATCTCCCCCATTTTCTGTTTGCACAGTTCCATTGCATTTGCCTGGTGTGCTATGCAAATTTGGAAAATTAAATGGGAAGCAGTTTGGTTTATTTATCTGATATAGAAATAAGGATATATATATATTTAAAATCTATAGTAATGTTTGATTTTCTTCAGCATGCATATTGGCATATGCATGTTGCTATTTGACTTCTTTAAATATGAGAAATGAATCACTTAAGCATATCTAAAAATATTATTTTGTATTGCTTTTTCTGGATATTTTAAACTTGAGATACTTTCACTAGGGTTCTGCTGAAGGACAGACTCCTAATCTTGAAAAGCTTCAATCCTTGGAAGTGCTTGGGTTCTATTATCAGCTGCATTTTGAACCACTGAGATCACTAGGCACCAAAGTATAGGATCTTGTGCATGCTCATGTGTTCCTGGGTTAAAGAACTGGATACCTGGCTCCAATCTAAATTCTGTCACAGTGCAAAGGCAGACAGGATGGTAACAAACCTTCAAGACTTTACCTAAGCCTCAGTCCATTGGGTACGTTTAGACCACAGTCAGTGCCCAAGGATGTACTGTTTCAGTTGCAAGTTTTACAGCTAGTCCTTCTGAAAAAAAAAGTGCAGGAAAAATAAATGCACTCTGCAAAAATAGCCTGGTGCAGCACCTGTGGTTCTAGGCTCTTTCCCATTCCCATCACTTCTTAAGCGTATTTGGGCATGTTTAGGCATAACAGTAAAATTGATGAGCAGCTTTGGGAGTAGGAACTAGAACCCAGTCTTTTCTCCACCATCTCAGTGGGTCCAGGCATGGGCTCCTTCCTGCTATTTCTCTTCATCTCTCTGGCTCCATGGGTGTTTCCCTTCTGGCTGTGCAGTGCCAAATACCAGCATGCAGTGCTGTCCTTGCAAACTTCCAGCAGACAACAGGAGTGTTCATTGAAGGCATCAAAACCAGGGGAACAAACCTTTTCCAGCTGAGGCATGCAAGGGATTTAGCAGTATGCTTTTATTCAAAACATACATTGCCTTCTTCTTTGTTAGTCTTGCTACCTAGAGGGAGGACTTAACAGTACCTGATAGAAAATGTGCCAGATACAGGTAGCCATTGGCCTGGCAGATTTCCTTGAGATGTTCTTCCTTGCTGTCACTAGGTTGGTTTTAACACTTGGCCTGAGGAAGGACTAAATGTGTCATTACAAGACCCAGTCTCCCTGCGAAGTCTTTGAAAAGAAGTAGACTCCTCATTCCTGCTTTGCCAGGGCACGTTCCCTTGTTGAAGACCTGGTGAATTTTCCTGCTTGGACCACACAATTGATGTCGAAGTATTTTGACACCTGTTATAAACACCAAAAGTGGTCTATGCCAGATACTGAGCTGTAGACAATTCCAGGAAAATTTCTTTGCCTTCTATTTTTTCTCAAGTCAGATAAGCAATAACTGGAAATTTGAAAGGAAATTAATGCTTCCTGTGTTTGAAATCTTTCCAATTTCTAAGATGTTAACAAGCAAAGAATTGTTACTAGAAATAAATTGACATAACACATTAGTAGGCAGCACTCTTTTTTTTTCCCTGATGTTTGATGTAATTGCAATTATTCTAAAGCAGTTATTCAAAACAGGGAAAAAACCTCAAACCAGTTGTTTTCCTACCTTCATTATTCCCATAAGTTTGAAGTTCCTAGCTGAGACCTAAAAAAACATATTAGGTAACACTTTACAAGAGGATGGATATTCTTTTGGTTTGGAGGTTGGATTTTTTTTTTTCTGGTAAGGGGAGAAATAGTTATCGGGGAATCCACTAACATTAATTTCCCTGACACCAGAAGAAAAAAGATGTGAAAGAGTTGCCATTGTTTTCATCATCAGTTGTATCTAAATCCATAGTCAGGTACCATGCTAATAAATCCACTAAACCTGTCCTGAGATACTGCAAATGACTTAAAACCTACATAAGTATGTTTATATGAATTATTTACCCTACACAGTATTTAATATAATGGTATATCTCATACTGTGATTTCCAATTTATTTTGATGTTGGCCATATCAAGGTAATGGAACCATTTTTTTGCTTTTTTTCTGTTCAGAATTTAACAACTCTGTTACTATTTATTTAAATCTTAACTGAAATCCCAGTACCTTATTTTCCAAACTACGTTCTTAAGTGTTGCATACTTTATTTCAATTTCCAAGTTGCTGTTTTTTTAAGGACCCAACAGAATCATAAAATAGTAATGTTTTCAAATCATCTACGTTCTTACTTCCACAGTAAGTAGAGAGATAGGTTAGGACCTGAGAAAGGTTAAAGAAGCCACACTTGAAAAGGCAAGGGTTAGGAAAGTGATTGTAGCCTGCTACTACAGGTGTGGCTTAAAAAGTAGTAATCATTTTATTAAGGGCAACCAGTATAATTAACAAGTTGTAAGGTATTTTCTAGGCTTCTGTTTTTCTCCAAGTAAGACTTCTTACTGTGAATCAGAGTCAATCTGAGTTTCAAGAGTTCTAGCAAAATTATTTGTCAAATGACTCTGGATTTGAGGCAGTGACTTACATCCTTACATCAGACACAGATTAGTTAAACCAATCTGATACTTCTAAGAAATAGTTTTAAAGAAACATGCTTAAAGATTCCATTTCAGATTGATCAGAAACAGGGCACACATTGCTAGGAGCTCTCAAATCTCTCTCAACCATTTGCTTCAAGATAACTGTCTCCAAACAGTCCAGAGTCTTTCAAGGTGCAAGAGGCTTTCTGTTCATCACAGGTGCAGTTCCTCAGCTAAATTCTTCATCTGGTATTTGTTCCTTAGTTTGCCATGTTTGCTGACCACTTGCTTAGGCATTAAGTGCTTGGGTTTTATGTATTAGTCCTTTCATTTAATGTTCAGGAAGTCCTGTTCACAAGAATATGCCTATAACACTGTTCATAACCAGAGGCAAACACATGCACATTTTGCTCATCACATTTTTTGTTCTACATTTTGGGGAGGAAAGGGACCTGCTTTCATCTCACCTCCTCTAGGCACTGAAATGATACATCTAAGCTTTGTTAGCTGGCTCTGCTATATAGTTAAGGCATCTCCAGGGTATGATCCAGCCTACTCAAAATCCAGAGTGAAGGAGGGGTAGCAAAGATTAAGACAAACTGTGACTTGGCTAACGGGAGAAAAATGGAAATCTCTGATAAAAGGAATAGTACTTGTTCTAGTCAACAAAACTATCTGCTTCTTTCTAAGATTAACTAAATAGGGTCTGGGTTTTGAAGACCAAAATCTGCAAGAATAAGTCTAGGTTCTGATATGTTCCTCAAGGAATTTGCTCTCATATGTGACCATTTTGATCTTTTCCACCATCCTTTTCCTGGAAAAAGGTACCCATGCTACAGACTGTGAAAAAATAGCTTTATGGTAGAGAACACTATGTGTTTAACTTTACATACACTCAGCATCATAATGTTTCAATGGTCTGTTACATACACATGCTGTATTTTATGTCAATTTGAAAATACACTGTCTTTTTCTTAATTTTATAGCTCCGTAAATCTGTTTTCAGCATCAGAGCAAGAAACCTTCTGGAAAAAGAGACAGCAATCAATAAAATTCTAAGGTAAGAATCAGCAGTGGTTTGATACTGGTTTGACTGTCATCTGATTTCTCATAACCTTGTTTTTCATGTATGTTCCTGTATGTCTAATATTTATTGTAGTATATCCCTTTGTAGTACATCTATTGCCTTCATTGTCGAAGATAAATCGCTCTTTTCTCTGGCTGTATCATATGCATAAACAGCAACAAGGGAAAGATTGATCTTCAGTATGTATTTCAGTTCTGTGTCACATGGAAAGATCATGTTTCAGCACTTTTCACTTATTCCTTCCAAATTAAAAAAAAAAAAATAGTCTCTTCTTATGTTGCCTAAAGAATTCTAGCCTAGTTCTTGCATAAATATGAACATAATAGAAGTTGTACATCAGAAAGCAGAGGCTACAGGTAATCATATTTCAAGTAGGAAATGTACAATGAAGATTTGAGAACTGTGATTTCTTTAGAAGGATTTCCTGAATGTTTTAATAATGATCACTCATTTTGGTATTCCATATCAAGTAAGTACACAGCACTGTAAGTAAATAATGCAAGCCTAAGTAAGTCTCCAAGATGCATGTCTAAAGTTATCATATGGGTAAGAGTTGCAGTTTTTCATGCCACTATTGGGTTTACCTTAGAATGACTACCACTGGCATCAGCAATCCCAGCGATTTATAGATCATTCTTTCGTTTATATTTACACTCTAACAGCAGCAGGTGTGTCTCCAGAATATTATGCGTGAATGGTCCCAGGTAAACACATGATATAAACAGGAATAACTGATTTGAGCAGTACAACTGTGGGATTAGGTTAAGTATGGCAGTGTTTTGTGGAGAACAGTGCACTAGAAATTCAGAGTGATTCCTGAATTATGAAATTTCTTGAAAAATGCCTAGTGATTACATGCTATTTGAGAAATATTACAGCTCTACTTCTTAATACTCTATGAGAATACAGTGCAAGGAAAACTGTAGAAATTAATGTGAAACTTCATCTGTCTTTAAAACCATGATAATGAAAACGAGAACAATTTCTAATTCTAATAGCAAAATCTTATTGAGAAATGCAATTACAAGTATAAATACAATATACATAATTATGTAATTACATAAATACTCTGTTTAAAAGAAAAAAAAAAACACAAAACAAAACAAAAAACCCACAAAACAAACCCAAAAACCTTAGGGCTCTGTTTTAAGCATTTATTTCACTTACCTGAAAGTACCTTGATTTTACAGGCATTACGGTTACAGATAGGTAAATACATGTCACTTTGTCCTGAAAAAAAACACTTCTAAAAATATGTTTTTAGACACAGGCTTCGTGGCAATGTTTCGGTAAAACATTTGCAATGAAACTCTATGTAATATTGCAACTGTGAAACGTTATTGACACCTCTAGGGTTACATAAATGTCAATTTGTTTGGCATGTTTCTTACACTACACCACAGAGAAAACATGCAGACAAAGAGAATACCCTATTATTTTTATCTTTAAAATAAATAAATAAATAAGACTTGTGACATCTTTAGGGGCTCCATTCTTTCTTGCATAGAAGAAAAAAATAAGTCCTGCAAATTGAAGATCAGAATTCTAATGAATTCTTCCATCAGCACAGCACTTTCCCCTTTCAGGGGAAGTCTGAAGCAGACTGGGACAAGAATCCAAGCAAATGGTTGCTTGGACTTCACTGAGTTCTCAGAGGTACCAGGACAGAACCAGAAATCAGTCATTCCAATTTCAGTCCTCTGACTTCCACTTGGTCTTTCAGAGCATGACTTCTGCCAAAGTTTTGTATACAGGGAGACCTCTCATCAATTCACCTGAGTTCCTCTGAAGAAAAAATGCAGGTGGAAAAGAAAGTTTTCTGTTAATTTCATCTGCATTTACTGTGCTTTTATGTCTACTTCCTGGGTCATCAGCAGTGAACTTTTGAGGAAGACAGAGAAAAGGAGGGAACCTCTGTGAAGTAAGAAAAATGTGGAATCATATGTGTTCTGATGCTTTCTGAGGATGCTTTTAAGTCATTTGCAAAAGGCAGTCTTATGCTCCTGAAAAAAAGGAACAAATACTGTTCATTCTTTCTTGTTATTGACTCAGAGTTGTTAAACAAGTGCTAAACTGTGACATCTCCAATACATCTGTTCCAGCATAAGAAAATTGTGTTCATGGTATTGTGCCATGGTGGGCATGCTGCTAGAGAGCATTGCCAGGGATGGGCCTGATCGTCCTGAGCTAGTGTTTCCATGTTGTTGCCAGTGTCGCCAGTGTTGATGCAGGGGAATTTTGCAAACAGGTAAGTGGGAGAAAGGATAAAATTTAAGCTGAAACTTCAGATTCAGCTCAGGGAACACAGGAAAACGCAAACTCACAAGACATACGTATTCTTTTTCTTATTTTTACTTTAACTGTAAATGCTGTATGTTCCTTAAGTAGCTGAATCTCAGCTATTCAGAGTATGTGACAAAAGAAAAAATGGCCTTTATGCCAAGAACAATAAGAGATAAGCTGTCTCTTCTGAAAAGATTCCTTCTAGAATCTTTTTTAAATTTTGTCCACCTGAATTAAAGAGCACTTATCTAAATCATTTCCTCTACACAGTAAAGCTATCTATAGGCAACTACAACTTGATCGAATTGCCATACTGAAAAAAGAGTTTTAAGTCTCTTCTGGCTGAAGTCCACCTCTTACCTTCCACACACAAACACTTTTTAAACCTCAAAAAATCATATTTCACTCAAATTCCAAATGTTTCAACAGAATCAACATCAGAGAATCACAGGATCGTTAGGGTTGAAAGGGACCTCTGGAGATCATCTAGTTCTACATTACACACAGGTACCTTTATGTCTCTTTTGTGCATCTTCCTCTATCTAAACCTTGTTTTTCCCTTTATATATGGAACTGCAGGTTGACATCTTCTTCCCCAAGAGGTGAAAGGAGGGCATACGAAGCCCTCAACCATCCAGAGAGATGGGTGATACATTCAGTCCTCGTTGTCTTGCCTACTTGTCTCATGTTACATTATGCATTAATACGTAGGTCTCAGGTCTCTTCATGTTCCTGCACCTTTCTTACTGCACTTCAGGAGAACTATCTATTTTCTGAAAGTCCTTGCTTGGAAACCAGCCTTCGTGTTGCCCCTTGAGGTCTCAGTGCAGTTAGTCCTAGGAACAAAATCAGGGATGCAACAACTACTGTCCTGGGTACTTTGACTCAAACCAGTGATTTGCATGACCCCTGCCGGTGTGAACACAGAGAGACTTAACTGTCTGTGTAAGTTCATTCTGAGCTGGGGAATCAACCCTTCTGAGGGAAATAAAACAAGGTAACCGTGAACTACAGACAGAACAACTATTTCAAAACACAGTCACATTTAGTAGTGCCTCTGAGTTACAAAGAGTTCAATTTCTTTCTGAAAATTATGATGAATTTCCCTCAGCAGCAATAGCCGCTTTTAGCAAATATAATTCCTCCTGCATATCTGTCTTCAGCATTTCCCACTTCTGTCTCTGTCTCTCTGTGAACACTACTTTTAATCTTAAAAGCAAGTTTTGTGCCTGTAGTTCTTCTGACCCTCATTTCTTGTGGGGTCACTATCTAAGAATGGGTTTCTAGACCTTTGTAAGTCCCGTTGGCTTTCTGAAGTAGCAAGAGTGGAGAAGGTCTAAGTCAAAATGTTGTGGATAAAGCAGTCCATTCTCTCCAGAGCTGAGGATAAGTTGTAAACAGTAGAAAATGGTGAAGAAACTGAGAAAATTAAAAGTAGTCTTACATAGTCCAAATTGTAATCAAAGTATCAGTAGTGCAGAACCTGATTCTGGTGTCTATTAAACCATGATTCACAGAATCACAGAATGGTTAAGGTTGAAAGGAACCTCTGGAGGTCATCTATTCCAACCTCTTTGCTCCAGCAGGGCCACCCAGAGCCAGGTGCCCAGGACCATGGCCAGACAGCTTTTCAATGTTTCCAAGGATGGAGACTCCACAGCATTTCTGGGCAACCTGCACCAGCGTGCGGTCACCCTCACATAAGGGTTTACATCCTTATTTTATAAAATACAAAGAATAACTTAACTTCTCTGATGTGTTGATAAGAAAATCAAACTCACCAAAATCACAAAAAATAATTTTATGATAAAATATTACAGGTTTTTAAACACTTTTAAAAGGTCATCTTTTTATGTGCTTTTTATTACAGCTGATGCTGTAGTCAAAATGCAAACTAATGCTAGGGGCATGGAACAGAATTTTCACTGTTCTAGTGAAGATTTGTCTGGTGCATGAACTGAGCCTAAGGGAATACCATAGCTCATGCTTAAAAGGAACTTTCAGTTTCATAAATAGTGAATCTAGGGAAGTGCATTTATCTTATGTTTGAAACTGAACTGCCATGAGTGCATCTTGGAGGGAAAAAAAAAAAAAAAAAAGGAGGAGGAGGGAAAAAACCCCACACAAAAAATGTATTTTGCAAGTCTTTTGAAAGTACTAATTTACTAATATGCTAGAAGAGAATTCAGGCTGTGTTCATACAAGTGTTTCAGCAAAATACAATGATTCTTTTCTGAATATTCAAATGAGCAAGAAACAAAATTCTCTGTGCTTCTAGGAAGGTTACAAAATTAATCTCTGAATAAATTTCTTTTGGACACTAATACGGTAGTATAATACACCACCTGTCATGAAAGAATGAGCAAATCTTCTCATCAGTTTGTTTATTACGGGACCATAGACAGTCAGAAGGGAACTTTGGCGCCCGTGTTGTCCAACTGCCCACTTCAAGTAGGACTATTGCTAACCCTGGATCAGACCAGCTTTTCATCTTCTACTGCTCTGGTTCAAGCACTACATTACCCTACCCTTGGGAGAGGATTTTCCTGATGCCCAGTCTGAACCTTTGAAGCCACTGTTTCTGGCCATTGGTCACTGCCCTGGTGGTGTCACAGTAACAAGAGTTTAGCTCCATGCTTTAACCTTCTCTTCACCAAAGTAAACAAGCCCACCTCTCCCAAGTCTCGCTG